GAAGACTGGAATTTTGAGGGGATGTTTCCTGACAGTTCTGGCGGCCAGTCTGAAATTCATTCAGCTAGAAGCATCTGCCGAAAAACCGATGCCGCTAGCGACAAAAACTTGCAAGAAACTCTGCAAAAAACGCATCTTCGCACGGGCAGCTCGTGCGTTGGCCATTTATTTTTTTTTTTTAAATTTGGAAATCCAAGGGTAACGTGCTGTTTGTTGAGGGTATCCATCACTGGTTTACATAAATCTTTGTCGTTAAACATAGCTCATAAACAAATTTTTCAGCAGACGAAGGTGAAGAAAAAGACGAAAAGAAGGAAACGTAAATTAGCGAAGCAACCGGATGGAGTTTACCAGATGGAAACCGAGTAAGTTCATACTGAGTAACTTCATCTACCCCGATGATGTAGGAATTAAAAGCTTAGTTAGTAAGTTATTCTCATGAACGTTGCCTTCTCATAATTTAGATAGAATTACTACCCGTCTCATATGTTAGCTTCCTCCTCTTCCGTCTGCTCTATCACTTTTATTACTTTCATGCTATTACACTTTCTCTACTTCTCTTTCTCTTTCACTTATCTTTCTTGCAAATTAGTTACATGTCCTTTCAATACATGACGGGTAGTAGGCTGTACTGACGATTCCCACTCCTACCAGCATGCATTGTTCGATCTGTGTATATAGCTAAGGGATGAAACACAGAGACAGACTGCATCGTGAAATGTCTTCTTATACATGACACCTAATTCCAATCTTCTTACTCCACTATTCTAAACTATCAACTTTTCGACGGAGGATAGGTAATTCACAGTGTATGCACTGTATTTTAGTACGTGGAAACTATAATCTTTATTTTTTTCCTGGTTTTTTATTAACAATTTTATCGAATTTCATCTCAATTTTATCACAATAATCTTAAATTTATCCTTGGTTGACGAGGTAAAAACCACTCACACTCATAAATTATTTCCAGAAGGTCAGCATTCAAAATTGTTCCACTGTCATCACCAATGCCGTCAGCAACAGTGAATTTTCGTA